ATTGTAAAAAAAGAGCCACACTGTGTCACCACAGTAAAGTGGGATAGGAGAAGGCATTTTAAGATTGAAAGTTCTCCGTTTAAGAATAGATGCAGTACCTGTTAAGTGTAGATCACTGAACTCTTAACAGTCATAGTGCTTTAACCACAGATAAACCCACAACTCTCCCCACAGTGAGCGTGAAGCTGTGGATTAAAGTAAAGGAGCATTTAGAGTTTGGATCTGCAGGGTTTTCCCCCCAGATTACTCCTGGAGAGGTTTTAGAGAAAGAAAGAAAGAAGGAGAGAGGAGCGAGCCAACTGGCGTGAAAATAAAAGAGAAGCGTTAAATATGTCAGAATCAGCTGTTACTCCACGATCTCCCTCCTACGATGCCTGGCTGCTGTGAAGCTATTGTCTTAGACTCCTTAAATCTCCTGCGTTCTTATGAAAACTTACTCCGACATCAAAGAGGTGTGTGTGTGTGTGTTTAAATCCGCTAAAAAATGCAGCATGAAAACAACACTTTATATATAGTCTGTTCTTAGGATGTGGTGTACCACTATATGAATTATTAAAGTCCTTTACACATCATTATGGTTTGGGATTTAGATGTTATAATAAGCAGTTAGTGTATGCAACGCTCATAGGCCTGGAAACATAGTTTGTTTCATCCAATGCCAATGCTTAAGGAGTACCACTGAAAATCCCTCTGAGCCCATCTCTTTCAGTGAATGGATGGGCACTAAGTCGTCAATCTGTGGTTCTCAGATGTGGAGAGTTGAGATCATTCTTTGACCGCTGGTCCGTTTTATGTTGGGGTTCTGAATGGGCAGCTGTTGGGTTTAAGGTCACTCCCTTTGGGCAGCATTTGTGGCCTTGGCTAATGGCAAACACCTGTGAAAGTCGGGAGGGGGGCGGAGAGCATTTATGTCACGATTTGTTAAACAGATGGCAAACATCTTCCTTTGGTTGTCCTGATCACCCCAGCTCATTTTGACTGTGCCAGATTTTCTCTCCCACTTTTTTATTTGTATAGCACTTTTCACAATATACGCTTCAAAGCGGCTTTACAGAAAATCATGAGGTTGGTGTTTATAATATCTTAATCTCTTCATTCCTATAGTCGTATTAAGCTGATTAGAGTTGGGCGATAATAAAGTTTACATTTTGTGACAAGCAATCAAGCTTTATATATATCACCCTATACACAAGTATCTTGTGTGTATTTGGGTAAAGATTTATCCAACTTTACATAAAGAGCTGCTGGGCAATAATATAGTTTACCTTTTGTGATGCTATAATTAATTAAGTATTTGAGATTTGCTATATGGTATATATAGTGCTTTATGTGAGTATACTGCATGTACCTGGATAAAGTTGGATATACTGTATATCCAACTTTCTAAATAGACCTGTGCAGTAATATAGTTTACATTTTGTGATGATTTAAAAAATCAAGCATTTACTCTATAGTAGCCTATATAGCCCCTTTCACACAGCGCTTTGAACCCGGCAAATTGCCAGAGTGCCTTCTGTGTGAACGCAAACACGACCCGGGACTGATGCCGGGATCGATGCCGGGTTGGGGACCTAGTAACATTGCCGTGTTCAGACCCAGAACGCGCGCTGTGTGAACAAAAGCCGTAACCAATGCCGTGTCGTAATGATGACGCTGAAGTAAAGTGAAAGCAGGCTAGTGAAACGGTACGTAATGGGCTAGTTTATGATCGAATCAGAGAAAAAAATGCACAAGCGTGGTTTCTCCAGAGAGAAATCGCAGCTCATAAACAAACTATACACGTTGCTGAGACATTACATGTCACATCGATGTCACGTGTCTTTCCGGAACATACACGGGTTGTGTGTGAACGCGCTCTCTGATTCCGGCAAATCACTGGCAGTGTGAATGAAGCAAAATCAAACGAACCCGGGTCAAATCCCGGGTCGCTTTATCCGTGTATTTTCCGGAATCTCTGTGTGAAAGGGGCTTATGTGACACTGGATCACAAGTCGCACGGGTATATTTGTGGCAATAGCCAAAAATGCATTGTATGCGTCAAAATTATCGTAAATTATTATTATTTTTCTTTTATGCCCCAAATCATTAGGATATTAAGTAAAGATCATGTTCCATGAAGATATTTTGTACATTTTCTACCGTTAACATATAAAACATTTATTTTTGTGAGTGAATGCAGCACAATAGAGAACATAAATGGACAACTTTAAAGGCGATTTTCTCAATGTTTCGATTATTTTGCACCCTCAGATTCCAGATTTTCAAATAGTTGTATCTTGGCCAAATATTGTCCTATCCTAACAAACCATACATCAGTGGAAAGCTTATTTATTCAGCAATTTCGTATGATGTATGAATGTCATAAAAAAAAATTAAATTTAAAAATGTGGATTTAAAAAAATTGACCCATGTGATTGGTTTTGTGGTCTAGGGTCACATACACCGCTTTACCTGAGTGTATTGTATGTATCCGGTTGGATATCCTTATATTTTCTTGTTTTTTCAAGATTTGTTTTAAGACTATTTCTACTTTTTTTTAAAGGAATGCCCTGGGTTAAATATAATAATATTGAATTTTTTATTATTATTAATGATTATTTGCAGTAATGCACTTACAATGGAAGTCTATAAGGAATGGCTTTTCATGTAGAAATCTGCAAAAAAAAAAAAATTCATTTAGATTACTATGTCGGTTTATGTGTGTGTACTTTATGCAGATAAAGCTGGATATATTTAGTTGCAAGTGTGAGTTAGTAATTCATTATGAGGTGATATGGAAATCTGTAATGTTTTCAGTTTATAACAATTTGATGTAGTAACAAGCCCATGACTGTGTATTTTAACATGAATCTCAAAGTCTTGCCTTATTGACTTTCATTATAGTAAAAATGCATGCAAAATGCATTTTTCTAAGAAGTTGGGCCGGAAATATCAAAGTGCTTGTCCTTTTTATTTTTATTTGTGAATTTTGTAACATTAAAATGCATAAAAATTTAGTTGTTGTTGACTTTTTAGAAGTAAATTAGCATATAGTTTTTTTTATTTTATTTTTTATTACAGACATGCACAAATTTTTTTTTTGACCTTAAGAGTGTGACTGTGTACTGTATGTTGCATTAGTTTCACATGAGGTAAATTGACATGTTGATTTGAGCTTTCTGTAATGGTTAATTGGATAAGAGCAAGCCAGGAGTCATGACACTGCAGACAGCGCTGTGGTATTGTCAGTCTCATTAGGAGGAGACGGTTGTTCTGTCCTGTGGAGTGATTGATGAAGAGGCAGAGGGGTCTGGTCCCAGCAGGGTTTCTAACTCTCTCTCTCTCCTTCACCGGGACGCGTTGCGAGAATGTTCTTGCGGAGAATTCCAGGAAGGGCAGGAGAAGCACTTTGTTCTGATCCCCAGCTGAACTTCCCTTCATTGAAATCCTCACGCTCAAATTAAACTGAAGCACTGATGTAAATCCCAGATGACGAGGCTCTCCTACAGCAGAAGAAGAGCTTCTCTCGCTAACCAAACTGACCATTAGAACCCAAGTCCTCTTTAATCCTGCCTCACTTCATGTCTAATTGTATGGGCGGACTAAGTCAAGTATAATAAAGTTACTGGATAAGATCAAAACGTCTGGTAATGGATTAAAGGCAGAAAACATGCTCACAAAATCCTTTTATGAAATGTTAACTATGGATCACTGATATCAGGGTCTTCTCAAATGATTAAAATGCATTTATTTTATATGAATTATATTGCATTAAATTCTTTCTCATTCTTTAATTTGGCAATGCTGGGCATTTTTTTTTTACTTGTGAAAATCACAGGTAACAAAGTCCTTTTTAACAAATGGTGCTTGTAGTCAATGCATTTTTATATACAATGAGAATTATTCATTAAAAAGTAAATACAATACAATAAATAAAATATTATAGCTTACAGGCTACAAAAGGAAAAGAGTGCTATGCATATGTTGTCACATTGTCAAATCAAGTTCCCTTAAAACAATTGTTGCTCTAAAAATGTTTCTTTTTCTTCAGTATATAACATGATTATGTATTATTTACTTTTTTTGGGTTGCATTTTCAGTGTAATATGAGCCCTGGGCAATTGAAAGGATCAAACTGTTGTTTCATGTAGATGACATCCTTTACATGTGAATAGATATCCTGTCTTGAAGCCAATTGGTTTGCAAATGAAGGCACAGCTCTGTCCCTCAGGGAAACTGAAGGTAGCCGAAACATAGTCTCGGTTTTCACCTGCTAGATTACCACGAGGCTGCTGCTGTTCTACTTTCTTTTAGACATCTTTGAAACCCCAAGAGTCATGAGTAATTTAAACACACGTTCAATGGAAAGCACAACAGCTGTGTTGGAGAAATTAAATTGAAAAGGTAATTACAGATATGCATAATTACAGGAATGTTTTTATTATTAAATATTAATTATTAAACGACTATGAACAGGTGAATATGAAGTGTTCCATAAGTTTAATGTTTGCTAAAACCTGGCCACAAATTCAAAACCACAGTGATTTATTTTTAATAAATAAATGAGTGATTTGTATTATTATACATTTTAATAACAGCAATATGACCCCCCCCCCCCCCCCCCCCAAAAAAAAAAAACAAGTTAATTATTTTAACGCAATGTAATTAAATTCAAATGTAATTTAAGTCGATGCTGTCATTAAGCGACGAGAAATGGAGAGTCGAAATCTCCTTACGTTAATTTACTATGGTGAAGGCTTAACGTTACCTCATAAATATTAATTTATTATTCAGCTGTTGCTTGGTAACTTTCCTGTAGCGTCCTGTTACGTAATGTCATTAAATATTCATAATTACAGCCAGGCAATGCACAGGCAGGATTCGCTATTTGGCACCGAAGACTAGAGCCCTCCTACCAACGGCTCCCTTTCAGCCAATCAGCTCGGCCTATCCGGTGTACGTCATATTACGTAATTAATATTCATAAACCGAGCCTTGAACACTTACCCGTGCGCGTGCGTTTGGCTCGGTCCGCCGGAGTGCGCTGAGCTCAGAGCAGAAATCTGCACCGAAAAGTCGTTGAGACTGAATGGCTCAGCATTGGAATAATAACTTATCATTCACACGCAAGTTTTCCGTTTTAACTTAGTCAGTGAAATGATTTCATTACTGACAGCTGCTTTTTTCTGGAGTGTTGCTCCTCGAAATTGAGCAAACCAGTTGCCGGTTGCTTTACCTGCTCTGATAAGGAGGATAACTTACAGTCAGACAACTGCTGCATGATACACTGTTACCAGACTGACTTCCCTTCAAACTCATGCAGAAAGGCAGACCAGGACTAAAGATTTAATGTCACAGGTAAGATTTTTAATATAACATATCTATATTATAATAAGCCTGAATGTATAGAATTCTCAAAAACATGACACCAAGCCAATTACCATAGGCTATATTATTTAACATGTCAGTACTATGGTGTATCAAAGTATCATGCAGTACGTTTTTTGTAAGGGGGCTGGATAGCAATATAATATCAGGACATTATGACTTCTGTCATAATAACAGCTTGTTGTGATCTTTTTTTTCATTGATGTTTAATTAAAGGGCATAGTTAAACCGCCTAAGAGGAGTGTAATGCCTAATAATTGTATTGTTGTGTTTTGCTCTTGAAGTGATTGCTGCTGCTGCTTCTCTCTTAAATAATCACTTTTTCCCAGGCATAATATAGAAAGATGATTCATATGTTACAAAGTTTAATGACAGTCCTCTGTTTGCATGGCCATAAGCTCCGGATACATCTGTACAAGATTGCTGAAAATCCAGCCCTTCAGGGAAGAGGATGTGATGACAGGATTATTATTTAATTTATCAGGTGCTCGACCCGAAGTGTTGTGTCTGTTGGACTAGTTGGACTGTTGGCCAGCAGCACTAACAAGACCTTATGGGACTTGGACTTCACACTAGCTATTTTGAGTGGTTGCACGCGAGAATTTGCTCACCGTTTTCAGGGTGGTGATTTTCACACACAAAATCTTTGTATTGTTTGGTTTGCAGTGAACCTCCTTGAAGATTTATCTTAAAAAAGATAAAACTTTATACTGTCAAATCTTTTGCGAATATTGATCAGCTGACGTAATCTTATCAATGGGGTTTTTTTTGTGTGTGCAAGAATATTGATTTTTTTGCACAGAGCAGTTGTCATTGCAATCATATAATGTTTAATCATTTGAGTTTTAGCTGACAAGTATTCTAGCTCAATGAAACTGTCTGTCTGTAAGCCATCACTCCAGGCAAAAAAACAAAAAAACCTTCTGCCAGTGAAGTCTGAGTTGACTTGCCTGGAGTGTCACTTGGAGAAGTCTGTTGTTGCTTTGTGCTGAAGGAGATTATTGAAGTGTTTGAAGTGTTTCTAGGTAACCAGCCCCCGTCTGTGACAGACACACACACACACACACACACACGGTCTGGTTCGCTATCTTTGTGGAGACTCTCCAAAGACGTAATGGTTTTTATACTGTCCAAACTGTATATTCTGTCCCCTTACACTAACCCAACCCCTAAACCTACCCATCACACAAAACTTTCTGCATTTTTACATTTTCAAAAAAACTCATTCTGTATGATTTATAAGCTTTATGCCCATGGGGACCGCTGGTTGGTCCCCACAATGTAGGTGATCTCAGGTTTTACTATCCTTTGGACACACACACACACACACACACACACACACACACAGTGTAACCTCTTGAGTCCAGGAATAGTCAGTTCATTAAAAACCAAACAAAACCTTGTTTTAATGCATTAAGTCTTTATATTCAATCAGGTTAATGAATATATGTACAGCATGACCTTGCTTCACTGTGCTGTCACTTTATTTAACTTTCTGCTCACGTCCTCATTTTAAGCAAATGTTGTTCTGCTGAATCTGTGATGTATTTATAATTTTGTGTCCAAAAAGAAGAATTTGCTGAAAATGAAATACTATGATAAATCTAACAATGACCCCATAACCTACAAACCCATAATGACCATAACCAAATTATTGCTGGATTACTTTTATTTAAAAATAAATTATTAGTAGTGTTTATAAGGCAAGCATCACGGTTACTATTTCTATATTTAGAGTTATGGATCTGAATAAAACAGTTTTTTGAACAGAACAGTTATTCGTCATGTGTGTGATGTTGTATTTTTAATATGATGTCATTATTACATTGCTGTCTTGTCGCCAGCCGATCACTGCATTGCTGATCATGGTTTCCAGTATCGATATATCTGCCCTTTCCAATGAACACAAGAATGCTCAGTAATCTCAGACAATTTAATCCAGATATTTTAATCAAATCTGCAAATTCGTTTGAAGAACCAAATTATCCAGAGATAATGCATACTCTAAAAAAATGCTGGGTTGTTTTAACCCAAATTTGGGTCAAATATGGACAAACCCAGCCATTGGGTTACCCTTTTTTATTACATTTTTAACCCAATGTTTGAGTTTGTCCATATTTGACCCAAAATTGGGTTAAAACAACCCAGCATTTCTTAGAGTGTAGATTGTCTGCATCTGACAAATCATCTCAGATGTATTAAGTGAGGTACGGAGACTGGACCCCAGATGTAGTTGTATTGTTATTAATGCTCAGTACTGCCACCATCATGTTAAGCTCATCTTGCCATCAGCACAGAAGCGCCTCTGCTGGGTTTATGGGGTCAGTATCAGGATGCCAAGACAACAGTGTTGGACTCTGGCTCCATATCTCCCATAATCAGCTGCTCATAGGATCGCCAGCTAATGTGACAAACATGAATGACATTGCTGATGGGCGTGAGTCCAGTGACCACGTGTGGGACAACTGACTGGTTTAATGACATGCTCTCGTGTTCATGTTGTGGTTCCGCCCGCACTGGATCCTGAAAGCTGTTGTGTGAATTGGAGGCTGTTTTGTCCAGTTGTTGAGTTCTTGTGCTGTTGTTAGTGATGCTAGTTTTTTTTTAGAGTTAGCACCCCATGTGTTATTTACATTAATGGTTCCTTAACTTTTTTAAGTTTCAGTTCCTAAATACATTTAAGTTCATTTTGAATAAGAATTGTTTGTGTTCATTTTGTGCAAGTCTCATCTATACAGTTAAAGGGTTAGTTCACCCAAAAGTAAAATTAGCCCATGATTTACTCAACCTGAACCCATCCTAGGTGTATATGACATTCTTCTTTCAGACGAATACAATCAGAGTTATATTAAAAAATGTCCTGGCTCTTCCAAGCTTTATAATGGCAGTGAATGGCTGGAGAAAATTTGAAGCCCAAAAAAGTGCATCCATCCATGATAAAAATACTCCACACGGCTCTGGGGGGTTAATAAAGGCCTTCTGAAGCGAAGCCATGGGTTTATAACCATATTTAGAATAATATGTTTATAACCATAACTTTATAATCTAAAATAATTAGCTTCCGCCAGACGACCGTACGCATACTACGCAAGTCGACTTGCGGCGCAAGAGTAACATGTATGACGTAGGATGTAGGAGTGTCGTAAGCTTAGACGCCTCTCACAGTTTAAACAAATAGTGCTGTGCAACAAACTGAAGCTCCTCTTCTATTATATACAGTAGAAATCCTTCGACATTTCTCTTCAAAATGGCTAATTTGCGACCGGTGTTTTGTTTTGCTCTTTCCTCTTAGCTTCCGCGTTCGTCATTACGCTGTGTGTCGGGTCAGGGGTTAGTCTTCCACCGTAAATCGATGCGTACGGCCGTCTGGCGGAAGCTAGTAATTATTGTTATAAATACGGGTATTTTCCATACACAAACCCATGGCTTCACTTCAGAAAGCCTTTATTAACCCCCCAGAGTTGTGTGGATTACTTTCATAATGGATGGATGCACTTTGAATTTCAAATTTTCTCCAGCCGTTCACTCTCATTATAAAGCTTGGAAGAGCCAGGACATTTTTTAATATAACTCCGATTGTATTCGTCTGAAAGGAGAATGTCATATACACCTAGGATCGCTTCAGGGTGAGTAAATCATGGGCAAATTTTAATTTTTGGGTGAACTATCCCTTAACATACATATATAAAGTGTGTCCACCAAGGCTGCATTTATATGATCAAAAATACAGTAAATATTGAGAAATATTATTTTAATTTATTATATATAAACTATTTATAAACTAATATATAAACTGTTTTCTATTTGAATTTTAAAATGTAATTTATTTATGTGATGCAAAGCTGAATTTTCAGCATCATTACTCCAGTCTTCAGTGATCCTTCAGAAATTATTCTAATATGATGATTTGATGATCAGGAAACATTTCTTGTGCTGCTTTAGAAAGTTCAAAATAACAGCATTAAAAAAATATTTTGTAACTTTTATAAAAGTCTTTACTGGCACTTTTGATCAATTTATGCATCCTTTCTGAAAAAAAGAATAATAATATGAATTAAAAGAAAATCTATATGGGGATATATGGCTCAACACCACGAAACAAACTGTTTAATGTGATCTCATTGTGATGTCATGTAGGGCATTCCCAAAGACACCTTTGCATATTAGATCACTCATTATCTACACATATTACTTTGCAACATGGAATGCCAGTGCGTGACAGAAAAATGCTGTACTTGTGATTAAGTTGTTAACATTTATGATAATGGGCTACTTTTTTACTTTTTGACTCATGTTTGCTTGTCTCGATTATCAATAGGTCATGCAGTTACTTCCAATTATGAGCACTTTAAAGGTGAAGTGTGCAATTTCTTAATGACTGTTTTCATTCTGCATCCGCCATAGTTGGACAAACAGAAAATCCTTCCCTTAAACTAAATCCTCTTACAAATGGGGTACTAATAGTTTTCTCTGCATATTTTAACATTGAAAAAAAAAATCCCTGTTCATTCATATTCAGCTGTTTATCTGTCAGCAGCACTTCTGGACAGGGCGGTTTCCACCTTTGCACCCGTTCAAAACCTCAATTAAATTGTGATTTCTCTGTAGTTTTGTGTTTGGCGGGTGGAGTGACTTTTAGCAGTGAGGCTAAAAAAAAAAGAGCTGACGCCTGCAGTCCAGCCCAACCCAGAATGATCTCAGAGTGCACAATTAACCGACCGGCTCGTTGACTCACCATCAGAATCTGAATCTTTTCATAACTTCAGAAACTTATAGTGGAGGAAATGAGTGTAAACCAGTTATAAGTTGTCAGAAGTGGAACATTGATCTGAAAAGAAATGAGATTACCTTCACACACACAATCACACTCTCTCTCTCTCTCTCTCTCTCTCTCACACACACACACACACACAAATATACAAAATCCTTCCCATTGGCTTTGTATATTCAAATGAGTTCCCAATTTGCAT